CAATGTGTGAAGCACGATCCATCGAAAATATCGAGGCCATGGTTCTTCTTGTCGTGTATCATCTCCGAACTGCATCCAGTCATGGCATGTGGTACATGATTGGACTTGCTATGCGTACTGCTATCGATCTAGGTCTTCACCGAAAGGCAAATGAGAGCAACATGGATCCATTTACCACTCAGATGCGACGCAGACTATTTTGGACTGTATACTATTTGGAGCGAGTGGTATCAATGTCTCTTGGTCGCCCGTTCAGTATATCCGATCGTCACATTGATCTTGACCTCCCACTCGAAGTGGACGACGACATTGAAGATCCGACACTACTCACAGCACCCCTAGATCCAAACAAAACCACAACCTTGACATTCGCAATTTACCTCTTCAAACTCCGTCGCATCGACTCCCGCATCCAACATAAAATCTACCGCGCCGACCGTCCCCTATCTTCTCTCCGACCAAAAATGGACCCTCTATACCTTGAACTGGAACAATGGAAAGAATCCGCCCTACTGCGATTCAGCGGCCCAGATCTCGACTACCCAATGCTGCACTTTAACCGAGCAGTCCGCCTACTAATCCAGCCATTCCTCCCCCTCCTCCCAATCACAGACCCGTACTACCAAATCTGCATCCTGGCCGCAGGAAACATATGCCAATCCCACAAACGCCTCCACCAGACCCTGGAATACGGCCACTCCTTCCTAGCCGTGCAAACCGTCTTCATGGCCGGAATCACCCTCCTCTACGCACTATGGACACACACAGACCAAGTCTGGTCCGTCCGCATGAGCAACGACATCCGCGCCTGCTCAACAGTCCTATTCGTAATGGGCGAGCGCGCAGCATGGGTCAAGAAATACCGCGACGCCTTCGAGTTGCTAGTCAACGCCGCCATGGAGAAACTACAGGGAAATGAGACTGCCCGAAATGCCGGAATGGCTGAGCTGATGACGGCCCAGTATGGCGTTAATTGGAATTCTACTACTGCTCCTGGTATGTCAGGTAGTGATAAGTTTCCCCCGGTTAACCCGACCGGGCTGGCTCCTGATACTGCGGGTGCTACGCCTCAGGGTTGTCCGGGTGATGATTCTGAGCATGCGGTTAGGATGGCGTTGCAGCTGGCGCCGTGGATTGATCAGGATGAGAGTGATCCGCTGTGGGTGCCGGACTTTGAGACTTTGGAGAACTTGTCTGGGACTTTTTGGAGCCATGGTGATATGAGGCTTTTTGATCCCATGTAACATGTTTTCGGATTTGTTGTACATACATGCGAGAGATGGAAGTTGATACCCTTCTTTGTTGTTATAATATGACAGGTCCTTTTTTTCTAAGATTTACCATGGGAGAATTGCCATGGATTTTCAGCGGTATTTGCTTGAGATATAAAGGACAGTTGGAGACCAGATCGCCCGATGACCCTGCTGCATATTTCTAAAGTATTCAGGTCTATAATATGTTCAAGGGGGTATATCCGTGAACCAGCTTGCAAGATCCGGCAAATCGAATCTTCCAAGGAATCCAAACTCTTCCTGGCCCAAGCTCATCTCATCCCAAGTGGTAAGAAGATTAATATCCATGTTAGTGGGTTCGTGACGGAGGTTGTGTTCGTCTGCTATGGGCTCGGTAGGCTGCGACGACAAATCGGGTCGATTCGGTTGTTGATTGCCCCTTTGGTGCAGCTGAGTGGCAACCAACGAGGGATCACCAGGCCGACAAGTAGCTATACGAGAATCAGCTATACCCAGCGAAGATCCGTTACATAGCAACGAACCTGAGTAGTTTTGTGTAATATGTTGATGGGTCACCTGCAAGAACTGCAACGAGTTGCGGGCAGACAGACTGAATATAGCCATAAAAGCTAAGATTTCTTCGCACTTGCGCCAACTCTCATCCACGATTTGTGAATCGACTTGCTCCCGGATAGAATGGCAGGAGTATGACATTATCAGGATGAACCCTGCGGTCGATGTGTCTAGTACATGTTAGTTGGTGAGCAACTAACAATAAGCGGAATTAACCACGAACAGAATCCATTGTACCACCATGCATCAGTTACATTTGTCCGATATGTCTTGTGAACAAGTGAGACCAGGTCTATGGCTGCCATGACGCAGGAGGCGGCACATTTTGAGAAAACAGTAGAGTAGATTATATTTTTCTCGCTGGGTTGTGAATCAGAGCGACGTGACGAGCCTGCTCGCTCATCGGAGCAGAGTTGAGTGAACATGGGGCGATATAATAGGAGGCGAAGGTGGATGAATCTGTTGTTTTTCTTTTAGTTAGAAATTGTAACTGAAAAGCACAGAAAGAGAAGCTACCTCGCACGCAGCACATTCTGCTGGCGCTTGAATGTCGACGCATTGCCACCGCCTGAGTGATGCAGTGATGGCTCATCTGTCCAATTTAAGGGCTGGGGAACGCTAGCTTCATAGGCAGCGAGTTTATCGTCGAGCTCCATCAACACATCTAGGCTACAAAGCTTGGAGCTTCGCGGCGAACCGGTGCGAGTGGTATTCGATCGACTCTGCCAAGCGTTATAGACCTCGGATAGAATAGACTCGAGAATTTTGTATAATTCAATGGTTGAAACGTAGAACGTCATGTATCCCAACTTATGATCACAGGGTTGTCCACTAAGCTCACAAGGATCAGCTTCTTCGGAGTCCGTTCCCATTGCAGGCAGAGGCAACGGTGAGATGTGAGATGTCATGCTCGGCCTTCCATGTGTCATGCTCACAATCCTATTTGAATCAGTTAGCTGTGTTTTCAGAAAAGAATGTAGAAAAGGGATTGCACCAACATATCCATAATGACACAGCTATGCCAGGTACGCCGTCGTATTTCTGTCTCGAGAGGTTTGGTCGAGGCGTGTGTGGTTGTCTCATGTAACCCGAGTCCTTGACCAGCTCGGCATGCCAGTCCAATTGCATTCCAGCACCGATTCGGATAAGGTGTGCTCTGGAGAAGAAGTGAAACAATCAGAAGCGTTTGAACGACGCCGATAGTGCCTATGTCCAGAAGATCAAGATTCACAAATCGCTTTGCGCGAAGGAAAAAAGAATAAACCGCAGCCTCCCGGTCCGCGGGCGGAATATCAGAGAAATAGCAGCCAATGGCAAAGATGCAATTGAGTGCGCAGTGGAAGACGATTGAATTAGGACCGCAATCGAACGCACCCCCGAGTCCAATATTGAGCTGTGGCAACTCGGGCTTGGATGCCTTGTCCGACCCCCAGAGATTCTCATACGCTTGCTCAAAGCTGGGGCGATGGAAAAATGGGAATAGACAATGTACTCTGTCCCAGTAACATTCAAGAAGGTGGTCTGCCAGAGATCGAGACGGCAAGGAGAAATCGTCGAACCGAAGATCTACCGATGGATGGCCTAAATCTCGCCAAATCCCCGTATCGGGCCCCTGGGACCTTGACGACTCATTCTTGCTGTCTCGCAAAGCTGACATGTACGACTGCAGAGGCATCGACTCTCCCGCGAGACGCATAAAAGACGCCACTGAAGAGTTCCCATAGTATTGCTGCTCCCGTGGAGAGTCTGTGCTTGGTTCATCTTCTGCAACAGAGATTGCACCCATGGCGGTGACGTTACCGTGGGAGTTGAGAGACGGTGAAGGATATATACTGCCTGCTCGTGGCTGGGTAGATTCAGGAGACAGATGTGTCACATGTGGAGATCTATAGCGCTCAGCTTCCGGTCCGTTGCTCTGCGCGGGAAACCTTGGCGGTTGAAAAGTAGGCGTTGAAGACAGAGGGATTGGTCCAGATGGCACAGGGGTGGAACCCAGTCCTAGTAATCCTTCAGCAGCAACAGATGTCCTGGATTCTGCATCCAGGTGATCCAGATCCATATCTTCACCCACATGACCTTGACTCCCAGGTGCCCTGTAATCTCCATCTTGTGAAGGCCCAGGCGGAACAGTAACCCCGCCTTTCGCACATGTCTCTTCAAGCTCCCGAATACGATTATGGAGAATCTTCAGGTATTCATCGTTGCTGGCAGACCTCGCATTATCCAGCTTGTATACACATTGGTCAACGGTATAAGAGCGTCGAGCACATGGGCCACAAATTGGCTTTATACCATCGCACCTGACCTTTTTATCTCGACATGACTCGCAGGCCAAGGCAATCTTACGACGCCTTGGTGGCTCCCGTTTAGTAATTCCACCTTTGGGAGGCATCTGTTTCACAGCGCTTGGTCCCACAAGCCACAGTATTGCTGCACTATTCGATTGGTGGTCCGGATGATAACCGAAAGGAATGGTACGTGCTGCAGGGAACTGCAGACCCGGGGAAGGGAAAAGGGGTGGAACAATCCCGAGGCTGTCCGGAATGGACCCGGAGATATTATCACGTGTCAAACTTTACCCCGCGGGATTAGGTCGAAATAAAACGGAGAAATGGAGATGTGTGTGCCTGTTTCGTCTTTAAGGTCAAGACTAATGACCCCTGAATTGCTATAATTGGGCAGCTGGTTCCGATTCGTTGGATCGACATCATACGTGGACCCCGGGATGCACCCGATGTGTTTTGTTTCTACACGGAGACGTTAGGAGAGGAATACTCGAAAACTAAGTACATACTACATCTATGCCTACTTAAGTACGCAGTTAAAATGATATATGGAGAAATGCAGTCAGTCGAATCAGCCAATCATTTCACCACCGGACGTTGCACCCGTAGTGCAGTGCAGATGTGGAGGACGCCGATCCCCCAGGTACAATATGCCGGGTGCATTCCGGAATTGACGTAGGGAACCCTGCTGCCTCATTAATGAGACTTGCTTCACGGCATTAATAGAAGCCAATCCCCTTGACTTCCCCCTTATCCTTAATCCAAAATCAAGTGCTGTTACATATCGTTGTCTTTCCACAACCCTGATATTAGAACATCACAACCAGACCCATCAACGAACCCCCAAAAGTACAATTTTAACTCGATACCACCAGCTACCTGGATATCTTCCACAAGTCAAAGAACCCAAATGGAAAACGACAGCCAGACACTTCAAATGGACCATACCCTTTCACACTGCCCTTGGCAAGCCGACAAACCCCAACCAATCTCCCGAGACCAATGGCCGGAAGAAGGCCTCCAATGGGGTTCAGATCCCAGCTTCTGCTATCACGGCTACTCTAGTCCTATCGGCACCTGGACAGAAGAGAGGCTTGTGCAGAATCTGATGCGGAACATGGCCAGCTTCTGCACGACCATGGACATTGGCTTCAATATCCCCGAAATTATAGACGAGCCATCTGAGAAGCCTATACTGGATCCATCAGAACTGAATGGATTTACACTTCCCATGTTCCAGCCATCGATGGTCCCACAAAATAGAAGATTCTCCGAGACCCCATCCTCACCATCTTCATCCTCATCGAGCCAAGGCCAGATTTTCTCTCCGGACAATACCGAATGCACGCGACGGGCAAGCTGCGTCAAATCCAGGACTCAGTCTGGGCAGAAGAAGAGGAAGTGTGTGCAAAGACCAGGACAGAAATTGTGCCACTGTCGATCGGAGAAGAGAAGAAGAGAGATCATTGGAGAGCGATATAAAGAGCTTTGTCGCATTGTACCGGGGCTTGAGAAACAGTCATTCACAAGGAAATATGTTCTCGAGGGGGCTGCGCTGTGGATTCAAAAATTGGTACAGGGCAACGATGCCCTTCATCAACAACTTGGGCAGTTGAAGGAACAGGAGAAGTTGAATCAGTTACGGTTATTCCCTATTGAGGAGGATGAAAAGTTGGGCTGCTAGTTAGCGTTTTTTGTATTTATAACGTATCACAATGACAATGTACTCTATGATAATACTATATCCACGCATGTTGACCATCTAATACCCCACGGAACCGAAAATTGATATCGAAAGAGCCCTTTTGTAGAGGGTTAGGTCCAACAAGGATATTTTTCGGAACAACAAAGAACCATGGCAACTTTGCAGATCTAACATCATAGAGTGTGTATGGCATGGCACTAGGGTGGACCACTGCTTAAGTTCTTCGGCGTCAAATGATGTGAGGCTCTTCTACCTCAGCATTAGAAGGCCTCCGGGTCTCTATGTTGGAGTGTCGCGGAGCCATGACTAGTGTCACGTCGGGGTGTCTCGTCCCCCGAGATAGAGATAGAGTATTATACAAAACGAAACAGAAAAGCATTGATACAAATATAGAATCTACCAAGGAGGCGCAAGGGTAGCAATACCCTTCCCCAACTTCTGAATCTGCGCAGCATAGTACGTCTACCAAACTCATTAGCAAAGCACCAAAAAGAAAAAAGAAACAGAAAACCTACACTCTCAGCCCCAGCCCCAATAAGATGCAACGGCAAGAAGCGCGTATACCACGGAACAGGCGCCTTATTCAAAGGCAACTGCGCCTCATCATCACCAACACTCTCGTCGAGCAACAGACGCGGGAACTTAGCATCAATAGCCGCAGGCCGCCCAATACCAACAAGATCACAAGCATTATCCCTAATAGCGGCCTCAGCCCCAGCCCGCGAGCGGAACCCACCAGTCAACATAAGAACGAGCTCGGGATGGCGCTGTCGCACCTCCTTCGAGAACTCGAGGAAGAAGGCTTCGCGTGCTGCGGTGCGCGAGGATTTCGGTTCTGTCGCTAGATTGGCTTTGCCGTAGCCCATCATCTTTGGATCTTCGTAGCTGCCACCTGAGATTTCCATGAAGTCGAGGCCGGCCTCAGCTAGCAGTGCGATCTGCGTCATTGTTTCTTCGAAGGTTGTGGAGCTGTGGTCGGCTGAGTTGAGCTTTATGCCGATTGCGAAGGTCGCCGGTACGACTTTGCGCGTTTGTGAGATGATTTCTAGGACGAAGCGGGTGCGCTTTTCGGGTGTGCCGCCGTATTCGTCTGTGCGGAGGTTTGTCTTTAGGTGGAGTTAGTAATTTTGTTGATATTTGATAATGGTGGTAGTTTGAACTGGGGTGATAGAAGAAACCCGAGTGTCATACCTTGCCGTTGAGGAATTGATCTAAACAGACGAACCATTAGCACAAAGCTTATCGAGCCATTCAGTCAACAAGAAAAAGAAGAAGACATACCAAGCAAATACCCATGCGCACCATGTAGCTCAATACCCGAAAACCCAGCATCCGCCATTAGTCTCGCGGTATCAACAAACTGACGAATAACCATCTCGACATCCTGAGTCGTCATCTCCTTGGGCTCAGTCCAAGCCAGATACCCAATCAGTCTCTCGAGGTAGCTATCTCCAACCTTTATTGGCACAGCGCTGGGTGCGAGCGTCTGTGCGAACATGCCGCGGCGGCCTGCGACACGGAAGGACTGCCGGCCTGGGTGGCAGATCTGGGCTATGGCTGGCGTGCCGTGCTTTTGGCAGGCGTCGGCGTATTTCTTCCATTGTGCGACTAGGGCGCTGTTGGTTTCGCTGTCTTTGTATTCGTTGTGTAGGGCTGGGTCGAAAGGGCTGCCCATGTGGTTTACGTCGACTTGGACGTTTCCTAGTGAGGAGGTGTTAGGTTTGTCTTTTGTTGGTATATGTTCTGATGGTGTTGGTGGGATTAGGGTCGTAGTTAAAGTTTGAAAGGTTGCATATGAGAATGCAAGTCATTAGGGCTTTGCGTATATCGGAAGGGACATGGATATATGTTTAAAATCGGATTTAAGGGTTCAAAATTTGCCGTAGAAGTCTTAATCTCTGGCAGCATTAGACCTTACCTGTGAGAATACTTCCCCATCCACCGTCCGACCATTGCTCATATGCATCAACTAGAGGGTCTGTCGGCTGGTTATTTTTGGCTAGTAACTCAGCCATTGCGGCCTTGAAGTCCGTCAGTCCTTATTCCCATTTATACATAGCCATTAGACGTGAAAATGATGTATGTGGCTCGTACCTTGCTCAGCCTATTCGGCAAAACCAGCCCACACGGGAGCTTGACGGGATCTGCGAGGGGAGATGGCATGGTGTATGTACAGCCTCGTATGCGATCGATATATACAGTGTAAATTATGCAGTCTAATGCAATTGGCGACGTGGATATTCGAGCCCAATGGATATAGAAACACTCTGTCAACGGCGTTAGTCTGGATTTCCCTCGCAATCGAAGGGAGACATACCTCTATACCACCTGTGGACAGAATCTGAACAAGAAAACTACTAGGAATGAACAAATACCTCAAGATTTATAAGAATACAAATTTGCTTTCAAACCCTTAAATATCGGATAGATTGATCTCCCGGTCTTGTGGAGTCTCCAGGACCGAGGTTCCACGTTCTTCAACGTGGATTGGCAAAATCGGGGAGTTGGGTTCATCCGGGTTTATTTGATCAGCGAAGATCGCCATTATTGTTAACTTACAAGGGAAGATGTTGCAATATATAGACATCCATAGATGTTGGTCAGAGGTTTTGTCCGAATAATCGGACGAAATGAGCCTATACAAACTGAATTGTATAATATCCAAGTTAAAAAGGAGCTATGGATAATAGGATAGTTTAAATGATTTTAAAATTTGTTCATTTATATGGCAATGGCAGCTAAATACTATCCCAAGATGCGAAGACCTTCAAAATGCGAGCAAAAAAACAAAACAAGTGCTGGGTATTCAATCAGGGGCAAAAAAAAGGTCATGTCCAACCCGAAAATAGGCAGAGAAGAAGAAAAAGGGAAACGCGCTCGAAACCGACAAAAAGGGGGAAATATCAAAAGGTAAGTGACATGCGAGTCCATCACGCAGTGATCCTAAGCGCTGACAGATTAGAACAGATGCTCTTTTCTTTTGTAAAATGCAGTATGCAAAACCGAGAAGAAAAAAAGAAAAAGATCAAATCTTACAACTTGGCATTCTTCTCCTCAGTCGGGGAGCCACTCGCCGTCATGGGGGGCGAGATTGTTCCCAGACTGGAGAGGAGGTGGCCGACCTCACGCTCCAGAGCGCGGACCTCAGTGTGAGGGTCATACATGCGGGCCTTGATCCAGTTGTCCAGCTCGACGTCGCTCAGAGAGCGAAGCGAGATCTCGCGGTCAACCTTGTCCTCCTGGGCAGCGCGCATCACCTTGCGGGTGACGACGACGCTGACCTCGCGGATGCGGGTGATGTCGGGGTAGAGCAGGCCACGCTCGAGCTCCTCGCCGTTGAGAGCGGTGGAGAGAGCCTCGCCGGAGGCGTAGATCATGCTGTCTGTGACGCGGACGGCCTTGGACAGGATGCTGCCGAGGCCGATACCGGGGAAGACGTACATGTTGTTGCCCTGGCCGGGGTAGTAGGTGCGTGTCTCGCCGGCGGAGTTGGTGAAGGTGCAGTTGGGGAAGGGGGAGCCGGAGGCGAAGAGGCAGCGGCCGTCGGTGTTGGCGACAGCGGTCTCGAAGTCACACTCGGACTTGGAAGAGGGGTTGGAGAGGGGGAAGATGAGAGGGGCGGTGTTCCAGTCAGCCATCTTGCGCAGGATCTCCGGGGTGAAGACGCCGCCCATGGTGGAGAGACCCATCAGGATGGAGGGCTTGACGTAGTCGACGACCTCGTCGAGGGTCTTGTACTGCTCGCCGTTGTTGTCACGGCGGGCGAAGTAGACCTTGTGGTCGGCGAGCTTGTCGCCGCGGTCAGCGGTGACGAGACCCTTGGTGTCGACGAGGTAGAAGCAGTTGCGGGCTTCATCCTCGGTCATGCCTTCGCGCATGAAGAACTCGACAATCTGACGGGCAACACCGACACCGGCGCTGCCGGCGCCGAAGAACACAGCACGGTGGTCCTTGCAGGGCAGACCGGAGCGCTTGACAGCGTTGATGACACCGCCAAGGATGACAGCGCCAGTACCCTGGATGTCATCGTTGAAGCAGGTGTACATGTCACGGTACCGCTCAAGAGCGGGGAAGGGGTTCTTGAAATCCTCGAATTGGATGACGATACTATAGAAGCTTCGTTAGTCATGGTTGCTATAGGGAGATCACCCGAAAGACATGTGAGAATGAGTCACTTACCCAGGCCAGCGCTCGGTAAGAGCAGCCATCAGCTCGTCCAAGAATTCCCGCTCCTCCTCGGGTGAGATCTTGTCGCGACGGCTGCCCATGTACAGCGGGTCTTCCCGGAGGGCCTTGTTACCAGTACCCAGATCGAGAGTCAGAGGCAGGGTGGCCTCGGGACGGATACCCGCACAGGCGGTGTAAAGCGCCAACTTGCCAATGGGGATACCCATGCCGTTGATGCCCAGATCACCCAACCCGAGGATTCGGGAGCCATCGGTGATACATGTGATCTCGACATTCGACTCGGGCCAATTGGCGATGACCGAAGCCAGATTTCCGCGATCTTCCCAGCTCAGGTACATACCTAAAACGAGCGTTAGCGTCTCCGGTTATATTTCGTGTGCGGAGAAATTGCCAACTGCGGAGAAACACGACAATTCGACTGCGGAGAAGATAATCAAACAGTCTTCGTTGGTACGTACCTTCCGGCTGTTGGTAGATCTCGGACCATTTTGGCAGGCCTCGCCCACCACTGGGGTATAGATCAGGGGGGTCATTTCCTGCAGGGATGATTATGGTTAATTCTCGTCTCCCCAAGATCCCCCGGTCCAATCACATGTCTCGGTGCTCAACGTACCCTGAGGTGGTCTGTCACCAGACGGTAGAATAGGTGGACATTGTTCTTGCGCAGAGTGCTGAGGTAGAGGAATTTTTCGATAGGGGTGTTCTTCAGACCCAGCTGTGCCAGGCAGCGGGCCTTTTGTGTCTCGTAGCCCTCGGCGCGAGGAGGAGTGAGGCCGTAGGTGCGCAGGTAC